AGCTGATTATTAGGTCTGATAATGCAGGCTGTCTGGTTCTGTACATGGAATTTTGCCATTCTCTACTCGGCTGTCTACGTCAATGCTTGTGTGCAAGATGGCGGGGCTGATCTACAGACACACAGACACACACACACACACACACACACAGATGCCTGGCCTTCAGATTAATTGTTCAGTAGGGTTGCAAAATGAATGGAAATATGATCATGATCTTGATTCAGGCCTCTGTGCAGTCTCATTTTTATGTGACGAGTCTGCCATTGGAATGTAATTATCAGTTTGTTATGAGGCATCAACAAATTACACGTGTGCATTGCACTACATGACAAACGGTAAAGAGGAGCAGAACAAATGTAACGTGTGGGAGACGGTTGAGTAAAACGCAGTGAACTGCTTTTTAAGAACAACAAAATGTGTCATCGTTGCAGAAAGCCAGCGATTCTGAGGAGGAACAAATATACATATCACAACGTAAAAAACGAATGTTTGGGGTGGTTGGGTGCTGTCTCAGCCCGCAGTCTACTAGAGTTAGGTAGATTTTGGGCCATGTGGCTTTTTTCTAAGAGCATCAGTAAATCTAGGGACTAGTAAACATATCTTTTACAGGACATGTTGTGAAACAGTACTGCACTGTCCGTACTGGAACTCAGAAGCTGTGAAAAGATGAAATTAAAGTTTCCTACTGCATCTCTACTACCTGCTGCTTGATTATCAGTCAGAGTTCAGCATGCTGCCTCTCTAAATAGATGCCAGCCTTCCCATTGATTTTTGTTTGGGGTTTATACTTGAAAGTATTGGCAAAAATGTACATCTTAACAGATGATTGCCCCTCTCTCCACAGCTATCTGCTGATCACAGTGGGCGTGGTGTACGTTCGCTCCTTCCCCCAGTCTCGAAAGGACATTCTGAAGGACCTGGTCGAGATGTGTCGTGGCGTCCAGCACCCACTCAGGGGGCTCTTCCTCAGAAACTACCTGCTGCAGTGCACCCGCAACATACTGCCAGATGATGGAGAGCAGTCAGAGTAAGCAAGTCAAGCTGTGTCTCTTTGAGTCTCCTGTCCACTGCGCTGCTATTCTGGCTTGCTTGCCAAACATACATGCCACAATGTGCTTTTTAACCTCACTCCACAGGGGAACAGAGGAAATGACGGGCGATATCAACGACTCCATCGACTTTGTCCTTCTGAACTTTGCGGAAATGAACAAGTTATGGGTTCGAATGCAGCATCAGGGTCACAGCCGAGACCGAGAGAAGAGAGAAAAGGAACGACAGGAGCTTAGGATTCTGGTGGGCACCAACCTCGTCCGCCTCAGCCAGCTGGAGGGCGTCAACGTGGACAAGTACAAACAGGTGTGTGTTTGTCTGTCTGTTGTTTTTAGATAAGATTGATTTTGAGATTCGATCCATACAGTGGCAATATTTGGTTTGCACTCATGTCTTCCAGTGGTTTAAATAAGATCAGAATTTCAGTTTATAGCTAATTCTTAAGAAAGTATATAAACACATTTCAGCGTGATGTCCTTGTCCAGAACTTTTCAGAATTGTTTTTGGCCTTCATCATGTCAGAATTCAAAGAATTTAATTTCTGTTAATCCTGGGGAGTTGGCATCTCTCCTGATGTCTCTTTGATGCCTGCTTTTAGTCTCGCTCTAGCAGTGCTGTATGCTTCTTTGTCACCAGACTGAAAAGCAGCTTACACTGGTTTTCCTCTGTGTTTCCCTCCACAGATTGTTCTTGCTGGAGTGCTGGAGCAGGTTGTGAACTGCAGAGACTCTTTGGCTCAGGAGTATCTAATGGAGTGCATCATTCAGGTAGACACCTCTGGTGCTTTGATTCAAACTCTTGGATTAGTGGTGGAGCCAATACTGACCTTAGTATCTGATATTGGCCATGGCATGACAATCCTCATTAAATACACTCTTTTTATCTATGCTCTATAATTAGACTCCCTAAAGAAAGAGAAAGAAATAGTAAGAGCGCACATTTGGGTGAGCGTGGGTGGACAGAAGGGGGGGGGGGGAATCACATTTTTATTTGACAAGTTTGAAGTGTGTGGTACTACACTGCAGACTGGAGACCACTAGAATGACGTGACATGAATGGATCTTACTCGTGTCTACATTATGGAATGGATGTTAATCATTATGGATAGGCTGATGGCTACAACAGAAGAGTAGAGTAGAATGCACTGTTGCACTGAATGCATTTTTAGATAAAAGCACACCTGTGCACTCCTAAACTAAACTAAACTACACTTGTCTTGTCAGGTTTTCCCAGATGAGTTCCACCTTCAGACCCTGAACCCTTTCCTGCGTTCCTGTGCTGAGCTCCATCAACACGTCAATGTCAAGAACATCATCATTGCCCTCATTGACAGGTACAGTTTGATTCACTGTGAAATAACAACGCTAATGAAAAACTCCTGCTTAATGGCAAATGGTAAATCATTTTTGGTTTGAGATTTTACAGCATTAGCAATATCATTATTTGCATATAATGCTTTTGATGAAGCCAATTATTCGATTCATAATGTAGCACAGTGAAGTGTCTGTGTGTATTGTTGAAGTCGTTAAATTTACCCAAAAAATTGTGTATCATGCAATATAGGTGAGGTGTTAGTATAACTTCAGACAGTAGTTAGTGATGGCGTTGTCTTGAATTGCATTATGGTTAAAGGTGTGTCTCATAATTTAGTTTACCCTATTTACATAGGGTGCTGATTACTGATACTCAGTTGCTCCATACAGTCCACAGTGCTGATAGTATACTGCTGTCCCAGGGTAAGCAATAGATTTTTTTTGGAGTTTTCAAAGAGTTAGATTAACTGGGTCTTCTGTAAAAAGGAAAATAACTTCTCCTTCAACTAAATGAAACATGACTAGTATCAAGAGATGGTTTAATAAAATTACTGTCAAGTGAGAATGTGTGTTTTGTTTTTCAGACTGGCTCTGTTTGCTCATCGAGAAGATGGCCCCGGCATTCCAGCTGAGATCAAGCTGTTTGACATCTTCTCTCAGCAAGTAGCCACTGTCATTCAGGTAGGTCACATTAGGTTTACCTGGCCTGTAAGACAATTCAATCAGTCTCCACACAGTACAGACTGATTGAATGGAATGGGACTGTTTAAAGTCCCATGCAGCCGATATTTATTTTTCAACTCAGACTCGACTGGACACTTCTCCTATGGCTCATGTATGAATTCAATGCAGTCACATTAATCAGAATCAAGTATGTTAAAGTGTTGGAATAGATATTGACTAGTGCAATAAGTTACTAACACGTGTATTGTGGATGTTTTTATGCACAGTATATGCAAGTATACACCTCTATGCTGTCTGCTTAGAATTCCATTTGAGAGGGATAAGGATAAGACCTGACTTATACAGGATAAGACCTGTATAAGGATAGGGTGCTTTTGTCAATTCAAGAGATTATACAGTATGACTGATCAGATGGCCTTGATACAGAACAGCTTGTGTAGGAAAAGTAACACAGACACTGTGTTAAATTTCCAACACAAGCTGTTCTTATGTGACACAGAGGCAGTACCTCCTTACACTCATTGTGGGAATAGTTCTTGAAAAATTGGGAGACTGGTTTAGAAAAGCCCTTACCAGAATCACTCAGCTTTGTCTACTGGGGGTAGTCCGAGTTAGCACCAGCTAGAAGTATTCTTCACCCTGAAAGAGGAACTGGCTTAAGCTGATGACTGATAACGCTGCCTTTGGCTTGATGGTAGCCAGGCTAAATAATGATCTGTCTGGCCTGGAATCATTGTTTTAACTATATAAAAGATAAGGAACAGGGGAGGAAAACGATTACTCTATTTTATTTGCAGTATCGCACCATGACGTGCTTTGTTAGGTTAATGTGTGGATCTATAGTTTCATGTTTGACAAATCCAAAATTTTGATGTACTGTAGCGCCTACCAGAGGGGAGATGTTGAAACAGGTTGTGTCCTGAGTGTGAGGGGCCTGCAGTGATTTCTCCTTGCTTGTTTCCTGACTTTGGAGGTGTGCAAGTCTTGATGATTGCTTTGTAAAACTGGCTCAGCAGTGTCTGTGGCTGGCACAGGAAGTACATCCTGTTTTAAATTATAAATAGCCTGGGGTCCTTCAGTGTTTAATAAATAGATGCATTAAAGAGATTTCCTGTGATTTGATGTAATTTCCTTTAAAAAAAAAAAACAAAAAAAAAAACTAGGCTGCCCCTTCCAAAGCTATGGTGAGCTTAAGTTTAAGTTAAAAACAACATTGCTGATGTTTTCATTCTGTGATTCCTCCTTCAGTCTCGCCAGGACATGCCATCGGAGGATGTGGTATCTCTTCAGGTATCTCTCATCAATTTGGCTATGAAATGCTACCCTGATCGTGTGGACTATGTAGACAAGGTCCTGGAGGGCACTGTGGAGATATTCAACAAGCTCAACTTGGAACAGTAAGTCCCCAAAGTCCTGACACACCAACAGTGCGTTTGGTGTGAATGGTCACAGGATGTCTGCAGTATTTAACAGTGTATTCAGTGGAGTGAGTCTAGCAAATACTGGACATTTGGCCATTATTGGGTGTTTTACAGTAACCCCTCCAAGCTCCCAGGGTTGCAGTTTGCTAGTAGTTATTTGAAAACATAAAACTAACGAACGTTATTAAAAGTTGAATTTTCACAACAATGCAAGAAAAGAGACGAGCTACACATTCAGTCTTTAAAGGAAAAAAAACAACCACTTGTTTGGCTAACTTTCCATCCAAATATATCTCAGATTTTAACTGAATTTAGAGTAATTCAGCAATAGAAAATATAAATGAATGCTTGTTTCCATCCACTACAGTTATGAGAATATTAGGAGTTGGTTCATTGAGATCAGCAGTAGGTGGCAGCATTTCTCTGGTTGGAAAACTAGAAGAAAAGGGTTGCAACAAGATGATGTCAGGGGTGTGTCTAGAGGGACTGCCTGGTGTTTCCCCCCATTATCCTTACCTTAACACTTTTCAGAGGCTGTAGCAGGCTCTTTAAAGCTAGAGTCAATGTACTGGTATCATATGAAAACTGCTTGCATGTTGGTAAGTAAGCTCCAAAGTAAGCTCCGAGGTAATTTTACTTACATGCCCCTTTTATACTAATCCAATGCAGCTTTGGGCAAAAACCAGGCAGTTTTTTGTGCATGTGGTATAAATGTGTTATTTTTACCACCTGTATTTGAATATTTCTGCTTACTGGGGTTCTAAATGGTATTGGAATTGCATACATTGGGAATGACTGGAAAACTGAGAAATACCCCTGCAAAAATCAGTGCCCCTTTTGTGCCATCAGTCAAAAAAGTCTGGACACACATTTTGGGATTTTGTAACTAAAATGACATTATGTATGTTTACTTTATAATGTGCATAGGAATACGTTGATGGAAACACTGCTAATGGGTGAAAGAGGGTGAGGCGCAAAAAAAGACCTACATGTTTACACAGTCGAGAGAACCTAAAAACAGAAATGGGGAGAGGACGGAGAGTTGGAGTTGGTGACAGCCTGGATACCATCATACACCATATTACTTGCATTGTTACTCCATATATATACCTTTTTAATACAAATATGATCACAGACAGGAGAGAACAGGGGTTGTAATGTGCTCGCTTGCTTGCACACTTCGTGTCACACTTTGACCCTTACCTTTTCCCTCCTGTAGCATAGCGACCAGCAGCGCCGTGTCGAAGGAACTCACCCGACTGCTGAAGATCCCGGTGGATACCTACAACAACATCCTGACAGTGCTGCAGCTCAAGCACTTCCCACCGCTCTTCGAGTACTTTGACTATGAGTCGCGGAAGAGCATGAGTTGCTATGTGCTAAGCAACACGCTGGACTACAACACCACCATCGTGGCACAGGAACAGGTCTGACTCCTAGCTACCACTTGAGCGCAACATTTACACGTTGGCCTTTTAATGAAAGTTACAGTGAATGCAGCACCAACTCTATCACCTGACAGATCGTTGATATTGGACGATTCCGCAAAATCCTGATAACTGTTGCTGCTAACATTTTTATACATTCACAACAACATTTTGAATGTGTTTTTTTTTTCTACTAGTGATGGGTGGACTGATTCTTTTCACAGAATCGATGTCTTCGAGTTGATGCGTGTAAATGTGTCGAACCGTTCTAGTTTTGATACATTTTGCTAAATATGGCGTATAATGATTCCCGCTCATTCTTTGGGTGTCCTGCTTCCCATGTAGCAGGCAGTTTGACAGCGAGGGGGCGTAGTCTGGGATTGTCTTTCATGAGCAGGGAGCACTCGTTCAACAGGCTGACCCGGTACATGCCAGACACTAAAAAGAGTTGTTCAAACTTGTACTTAATCATATTTGCCCATCACTAATTTCTGCATAAGGAAACCTTATATGCCGTTCATCATAATTTCCATGGACACAGTGAATAAATAAAACTGGACAGATGCCATAAAATGTAATTATTTAACTTTAACACATTTTTGTTTCTTATTTATAAAAAGTAAATATTAACAATAATATAATATTGTTTATTCAATATATTAAAGGGAAAATAATACAAGTATTGCGCATTGTCCGACTTTCTGCGTAGGAGTGTGGACTAAAAAGCCACAACGGGTAAATGCAAGTTTTTCCAAGTGGGAAAGGAAGTGCAGAAAGACCTCAGCTATCTGTTGAATGAGGCACCATTTGTCCTAGAGCACTGAGTGAAGAGATAATTTGACCATAAAGCTGAAAAATGTAACTCCGAAACACACCTTTACTCATGTGGACCAATTGTTTTGGTGCTTGAAAATGGATTTATCAAAGTCTTAGGTTCACAAAATAGTGGAATATATGAATAAGAAAAAGTATATAAATGTATAATATATCAGTTAGTTTCACACAAAATGTAGACGGACGCACAAACCCACCAATTAGGCACGCTAAAAAGCAGACGTTTTCTCCTCTTCCTCCTAGTTTGCTGTGTGAATCACGTACGCTCTTGTGAGAATATAGACTTGGAAGCGGAGAGTCTACAGATTCAGACAGTATCTGAACCATATTTCTGTTCTCTATTATCGCAGAGATATTAATAGAAAGTCACAGACCAGCGCTCAGTGACCCCAGGGAGTTGAAATAGCAGCATCCTTTGATAGCACCGCAGCAACGCTAGATGGATGTATCTTACGTGATCAGCCTGTATCCTCCTTTTATTATATTCCCCACACTCACTGTTTCACTTCACTGATGTCGACACAGAGTGGGCTACCTGTGTAATTACAGAGCTGGAGTTAGATCCAGTTCCATTACATTGTCACTGTGATGGAGAGCAGTGATCACAATGAGCGGGTTTGCAGTGGAGATGGCTTTGTTCGATAAGACTACTGAGTCTTTCTTCATCCACTCAGCCAAAAGCAGGAAGAAAATATGTAGGAAAGTACATCAAATCAAAACTGCTCCCTCTCTTGTTTTTTCTAGGTGGACGCCATCTTGAACTTGGTATCCACACTGATACAGGACCAGCCAGACCAACCGGCTGATGATCCCGACCCTGAGGACTTTGCTGAGGAGCAGAGCCTTGTTGGTCGTTTCATTCATCTGCTCCATTCTGACGACCCTGATCAGCAGTACCTTGTGAGTCCTTTCATCTCGTGTACTAGATATACTACATACTACAGTCTACTGCCACTACTGCACTTTTTTTACTATTATCTCTGGTTTTCATTGGAATTAACATTCTGATTTGTGGTCAGATTCTGAACACAGCCCGGAAACACTTTGGTGCAGGTGGAAACCAAAGGATTCGCTACACACTTCCTCCTCTGGTGTTCGCTGCCTACCAGCTGGCCTTCAGATACAAGGAAAACTCGTCACTGGTATGCAGACATACTTTATCTCATCATTACAGGGTGCCCCTGGGGTCTTAAAGGTTCAGTGTGTTACATTCAGTAGGCTCTATTGTAAGGAATATAATATTCATAGGTATGTTTTCATTAGTGTGTAATATACATAAATATAGAATTATTGTCTTTTTGTTACCTTAGAATGAGCGGTTTTTATCTACAGACGTTGTGGTTTGCCTTCCATGCAGTCTGCCATGTTGAACCACCATAGTTTTTCCTACACACTTTACAGCCCCTTCTCATTCCCAGGTTGTCAAATACAGACATGAGTGGTGCTCAGTTCAGTTCACCACTAGATGCGACTAAATCTTAAACACTAGTCTTTTAAAATGTCTTAAATATGATTTTGACAGGTCTTAAACATTGATTGGATTGGATTGATGTTGTAACAACTAAAAAACATAACTGACCGGAACCAATACTGATTGTCCTTCATACTTTTCGCCAGTATGGATGTAAAATATGTCTTAAACTGCATTCATAAAGGGATTACAAAGGTATTTAAAAGCCTCAAATTTAACCTGTTGAATTTCTGTATAAATGATCTCAAATCTGTCTCATCAGGATGACAAGTGGGAAAAGAAGTGCCAGAAGATCTTTTCCTTCGCTCACCAGACCATCAGTGCACTTATCAAAGCTGAGCTGGCCGAACTGCCTCTTCGACTCTTCCTGCAGGGGGCGCTGGCTGCGGGCGAGATTGGCTTTGAGAACCACGAGACCGTAGCTTACGAGTTCATGTCACAGGTAGAACGTTTGATTAAGCTGTTGGTCCTTTGCATCTCTTGAGTGTTCAACCACCCACCAACCCCACTTCTTCCATTTCTCCTCTTGCCTCTTCACCAGGCCTTCTCGCTGTACGAGGACGAGATCAGCGACTCCAAAGCCCAGTTGGCAGCCATCACACTGATCATTGGCACCTTTGAGCGAATGCGATGTTTCAGCGAGGAAAACCACGAGCCGCTGAGGACTCAGTGTGCGCTGGCTGCATCCAAGCTGCTGAAAAAGCCTGACCAGTGCCGAGCCGTCAGCATCTGCGCCCATCTCTTTTGGTCCGGTCGCAGCACTGACAAAAATGGTGAAGAGGTGTGTTGCAGTTGTTTTGGGTATTTTCCACAATTTCAAACTTACTTTTATCTGGAAAAATCTTTGCATCAGAGAACGGAACTAAATGTCCTGTGTCATCAGTATACTCCCTTTGAGTAGTAGAATTATATTTCAATAATATAATATGTGTCCAGTAGGTTTGCTACATCATAGTTCTGCCACATTTCCAGAGCTGTTCTTGCTAACCCCTGATGTGGTGATGTTGCGTCTTTAGATCCGTGATGGTAAGCGGGTGATGGAGTGTCTAAAGAAAGCTCTGAAGATTGCCAACCAGTGCATGGACCCATCGCTGCAAGTTCAGCTGTTCATTGAAATCCTCAACAGATACGTCTGCTTCTATGAGAGAGAAAACGATGCGGTAGGACACCCCAAATGCCAAATTTCAATTTTTTTGTGTGCTGTGTACAACCATCAGACTGACAATACATTAAACAGGGACGGTATCACATTGTATGGACATGCATACAAACAAAATGGGGACCCACTTGTAAAAACATGCCAAATTCCAGAGTACCTTTTAAGCAACCTCTGTAAGTCTAAATATGTTGATTTGTACAGCTAACAGTTGACTAATTGACCCTTTCTAACCTCTGTCAACTTTCTCCTCTCCCGCACGTATGTGCATATGCTGAATGCTAGGCTCATCTATGTTGAAAAGACAACCACATTTTGAAGATGGTTAAGCGACATATAGTCAAATCCTAAGTTAGCTAATGTTAGGAGAATGCTAGCCATCTAGTTAGCTAATGTACATCCATCGTTAGCTATCTAAATACCTTGCATTTTGCTAACATTAGCAATCACATGTAACCAGCTAGCTAATGACTGATGTAGAATAGCTAGCTAGTTAGCTAGGGTTTTGCTAACATTGGTTTACTTAAGATTTGACTATATGTCGCTTTTATCTTTAAACCAAATTGAAAATATGGTTTTCTTTTCAACACAGACGAGCGTAGCACGTAGCATGTCTAAATACAGGACAGGACGAAGTTGAACGAGATTCTGACTGAAGCTTGCTTAACTGTTGTCAACTGAGTACTGAGCAAAAAGGGGTGGGACATAGAAAGTTTAGTCATTTTGATGGGACATCTTGGCTGTATTAATTTGAAGCCAACATTGTTTTTAACCTTCAAAACACACAGTTGCTTCCATATGATGTGAATACAGTCTATAAAATCTATTATTAATATCAACCAGGAAGTCTTACACTGTGCCGTGTGCTCTCCCCCTCCAGGTGACTGTCCAAGTATTAAACCAGCTGATCCAAAAGATCAGGGAAGATCTTCCCAACCTGGAGGCGAGCGAGGAAACGGAGCAGATCAACAAACACTTCCATAACACACTGGAACATCTTCGCCTGCAGAGGGAATCCCCTGAATCCGAGGGCCCCGCCTATGAGGGCCTGGTCCTTTAAAACTATTGCAGGTTGGAAGGATGTGAAGCCCATCCTTAGATGTTTCACAATATTATGAATATACAACTGCACACACACAAAATCCCATCCTGTAGGCCAGGAATAAAATTAATGTCAAGAAGAGCTAAAAGAACTCACTCCTTCATTTTATTATTCATTTTTCTGCATCATTTCCTCCTCGCTGTCCCTCACTAGCAGAAGTGTTTTCTGCGACAGGTCAGAGGTGTTAGATTTTAAGAAGTGTGTGCCAGCAACACTGCACAAGTCTTGGGCATCATTCCTTTATGAATTCCTACTTGACCAATTTGTCTTTAACCTGTATCATTTTATTGTCGAAGTAGACTGTTGTTGTAGGTGTATCCACGGAGTCATCAACCCCTCACTTGTTCACATCTTTCCATACTGAGAAGTGAATGTATTAGCTGAGTGTATAAAGGCTACAGAATCTAGTAGTGGTGTTACAGCTGTGTTGCATACAAGCTAGTTCCTACCCCTGAATAATCAATTACTCTGCTGTTCTTTAGGGTGGGACCACCCAAACTGAAGACCAGACAAATGGAAGCACATACAAACTGGCCCCACAGGAATGACGCAACAAACGTTGTTCCCATTAGAAGCTGATAAATGTTTTAGAACAAGCATCTTTTCATCTTGTCGGGCTTTGACTGTGGGAAATTAGTCAATTCAGTTAGTAATTGTGCAGCCTTCTGCATGATCATAGTCTTCAGCCAGCTGGGCTGCAAAGAAATGACAAATAACGTCACAAATCTAGTCATCTGTAGGAGCGAAAATTGACCCGTCCTAAGTCCCACCCCTTTTGGAACCCTGGTCCTGTACTTAGATATGCTATATGCTAGGCTCATCTATGTTGAAAAGACAACCACATTTTGAAGATGGTTAAGTGACACAGTCAAATCTTAACGATCACATGTAACTATCTAGTTAACAACTGATGTAGAGTAGCTAGCTAGGTAGCAAAACCAACATGGAACATCTTAAAACATGACAGCCAAAACAGACATTTGACTATACTTTTAACACTATAGTCTTATAACAGATGTAACCAGCTAGCTAATGATTAATGTAGATTAG